AATTACTAAAGAGACAAGAAGCAATCTACCAGCAGCATTGCTATAATGGTGCAAGAACAATTAGTAATACAACCACTTTTCTTATCGCTTAACACCATCCATCATGGAATTCCAACTCATTACAACAATTTTATTCTTTTCCCACATCGTATATAGCTCACTATGGATGAACCTGATCAGAATTATAATTACAATTGATGGAACTGTAGCGTAACACCTTTTATTGTTATCTAATGTGAACTCAGTTTAAATGATCAAAAGTTGGCAGACAATTTTGAATTTTTATACGTATATCTCTTCTATTTGCGGGTGAATTTAAAATAGGGTTAATTGCCATAACCTTTTGTTAAATTGCAAATAAAATTCAACCTTTTTTAAATTGGCATAAAAATACCAAATTTTTATTAAATTTTGCAATTGTGTCTCGAACACATATTTCCGCCAATACACGATGACGTGGCAGATCGGAGAACTGACATGGCAAATTCTCGGTGACGTCATCTTACATGTAGGATTCCACGTCACTGTCCCTTACAACTTAAACGGCCACGTCAGTTGTGAATTAATCAAAGCCCAAATCTGAGCCCAAAAAAAAAGAACAGAAATTCGTCGCGCGGCTCTCTCTCTCTCTCTGGCGATTACGAGAAGGCATCCGCCGGGACGTCGAACTCGTCGGCGACATCCCCCGCCGCCGTGTCCCCATCATCGTCTCTGTTTGACGGTAGGTAGCGCTGCAGCGCCGCCATTGCCCTCTCGCAGTGGGCGTGGGCCGTCGGATCTTCGGCGTTATGGTAATCCCAAGGCGGGATCTAGACGGTCGGATCTTTCTTCTCGGTGATTCACTCAAAAATCTGCCAATCTGTCGCAGCTCTTCATTCTAGAACCAAAAAATCGAGTTCACTACTTGCTTGAGGAATTCCTTTCGACTCCAGACCCTAAAATCTTTGAGCAACAAAACCCTAACAGGTATGATCTTTCTTCAAAATATGTTCGAATTCTCCCAATTGTTGATGAATTCATGTGGATGTTGATCAAATCGAGTTCGAAATGTTGATGCAGTTTATGCGTAAAGCTAATGAAAAATATTATAATTAGTTCCATCATTATTCAGATAATTTGGTTATTGCTGGCTCAGTTCAGTAACATTGGCAATTAGGATTTCTCACATTATGTGGATGAAGTTAACCAAAAATAATATCCCTTCGCATTATGCGCGTTTCTGTTCTTTTTTTTCTGAGAATTCGGGCTCAATTTGGGGGTTTTTGTGATTAATTCACAAACGACGTGGATATCTTAGTTGGAAGGGGTATATTGTCAAGTCCTACTTGTAATATTGATGTGTCACCAATAATTGCCATGTCAGTTTTCCGATCCGCCACGTCATTGTGTATTGGCCGGAATATGTGTTCGAGACACAATTGTAACGTTTAATAAAAGTTTGGTATTTTTTTGCCAATTTGAAAAGATGGAGATTTATTTGCAATTTAACGAAAGGTTATGATTTTTAAGGCAATTAACCCTTTAAAATATTGTTCAAATCACTTTCATTGAATGACACATGTATATTAGTGACTTAATCATGTACACGTGTCATTCATCCAATTAGATGAAACATGACTTAATTACTCACCACACTTCTTAACTAATTCAACTCAGTAGCTTCAATTTGCAGACACTACTAACCGAATCCCATTCTCAACAACTTATAGTTAATGCAACATTACAATTAATTTTTCTTTCAATAACACACAAGAATATGGGAAGAAAAAAGACCAATCTTGAGTGCAGAACCAAAATCAAACGTGCAAGGCTCATTATTCAATCTAGTGTTCCACATGTTACGAAATATAATTAGCACAATTATGGTTAACTAGGGTTAATTTTCAAAACAGTAGTATGGTTAGTTGTTATGGTTAGTTGTTAGTGAGATTTTGAGTTTATATTAAAATAACATTTAAAATAAAATAATTAAAATTGATTTAATGTAAAAATATGAGCACAGCGATGGTTATTTAAAATTTGTAAGTGGAAGAATGGAGAATTAATGTTGATATGGTGTGTAAGAATGATTGATTGATATTATTTAATTATATTGATAATATTAAGGATAGTAGAATTGAGTTAAAGTTGAGTTAGATTTTGAGTATGAGTTGAAATAATTTATAGATAAACACACCCTTAATCTATCTAGGAACATAATGCGGTAACATAATGCAACCTATCGAAATCGAAGAATCGTATATTACGTTAGGAATTACCTTTGTAGGTTATATCCATTCCTCATCCTTCGAAAATCAAGATATACCAGTAAAATAAAAAATGGACTGGTACTTAATTTTATGAGAAATCATACAATTTGGCCACTGATATTAAATTAGTAATAATAAAAGAAAAAAGAAAAAAATACTTCATGCATTTAAAACTGCAAGTCAATGTGCATCTGCATTTTCTTTGTTTAATTTCCCAACAGAAGTCTACAAAAGATGCCTTGGTATAACAGCTCCGAAACTTTAAGTAAAGAACTCAAATAAAATTTGACAATTACCAGAAATACTTCCATGTGAAATTTCGAGGATGCTTGATTTATGCTGTCTCGAGCAAAACCAGTCAAACCCTCTCGCACAACTAAAACTGCCCGATTCACACCATCTTCCCCTTCATTCGATTGAAGAAAGCCTTCACTTTCGGCACACCAACCTTCAGGCCATCAGGGAAAAACGCATAGATCTGAACAAAGCATAAAAAAGAAGGACAACAGCCATTTCATGTCAGAGTCAGAAAGGAAGGACATATAGATACTGTTTCAGTCAATTTGGACACATAAAAGAAGCAGCCTTCAAGTGGAGCTTAATAAGTGGAGCAAATCAGAAAAGCCGCCTGAACAACCTATAAATGCCCATTAAGTGTACCGAAATCAAAGCTCTACGCTCAAGATGCCGCAGTTCTCTACATGCTACTACTTCCTCTCACTCACTTTCCTCTCGGCTCAATAAATTTAAAATAACAATGACAAGAAACGAAAATAAATAAAATCGGTAGAATAAGTGAACAACACAAGTGTTCTCACACATCAACCACGCTAAAATCGGTAGAATAAGTGAACAACACAAGTGTTCTCACACATCAACCACGCCCTTCTTGTTCCGAAAATCACTCCCAGAAAGAAAGTGCTTCCAAAACCATTAATACGACTCCCATAAGTTACACAAACCCCATTATAATACTTAAATCCCGATACTTAAGTCAACCAATAAACAAGCATATATTCACTCATACACAAATATATACACAGAAAGAGCAAGAGAGAGCTGGTCCGAGCTATTGTCGCGCATGCCTTTGCTAATAACAAGGTCCTAGGAATTGATTATTCGTCATGTCAATCTCAAACACCTTTTCGCTGGTAATCGACACAGGCAGACCAACAAAAACAAAAGAAACACACGAAAAAAACAGAGTTACACATGCTATTCAGTATTCACCATTTCCAGGCAAAATAGAAGAATTCGAAGCTACACCCATCAAGCCCATGTCAACCCGACCCGCACACAATTTAAGCAATTACAGCAAATTAAATTTGCGAGAGCCCAGTTACGATTTCGACCGTATGAGTACAAATTGAAAGTTCAAGAGAAATTTTTTTTTAAAAAAAAAAACGATGGCGTTAAACAGGTCGTTAACTACCTGAGATTTGCTGACGAAGATGGATGTTCAGACGGCCGGTGTTACCGTGTGGGTTAAGCTCCGTGCGAGCCTCGGGAGAGGGAGACGAGGGCTTTGAGGGGTTTATACACACATTTTGTGGAGTTTGTGTGATCACTTCGGATTTATTATTTTAGAGGCCCACGAGTTTGTGAAACGACACAACCACCCCCATAATTTGAAAATTTTCTTCAAGGACTCATTGAAAGTCGAAAATATAAAATTGCACACAAGTAGAGTTGTTAAACTAACTGAGTTGTTCGTCAGCTCGACTCAGCTCGTTAAAATTCGAGTTCAACTTGACTCTTTGATTAGCAAGTCAAACTCGAGCTCGTTTAATTAACTAGGCGATATTGACTATGCTCGCTAAAGTTAATAAGGCTAGAGATATATGATTTTTTTTATGTAATGTTCTAATCTATTAACTAAGATCAACTAGTTAAGGATTGAATTCATTTTATTAAATTTGATTAAAAAAAATTAAACTCGAGCTCGTATACCGGCTTGATTAGTAAACATGCTCGACTCGAGAAAGGCTAGAGCCGGAGTTGAATTCGTTAGCTCGGCTGAATTCATTAACTCGGCTCGACTCTTGTAGGACTCTAAACTCATAGTTAGATCTGTTAAACGTAACTAGTTACTTGAGAGTTCAACTATGCTAGGCTCATATGGCACATGAGTTGAGCTCGAGCTTGTTTAATTAATGAATCGATAATACTCGGTTCGTTAAAGCTCGAAAAAATATACATAGAGTTTGCTACAATTCAAATTTTTAAAATTTAAAATAAACGATCTGAGCTCAAGTATCCTGGGGTACTCATTTACACTGTTTCTTCGTAATCCAATTTCAAAAAGTTAGGGGTATGAAGTGATAGACAAAATTTAAAAGGGTCCTTTCCGCAAATTCACCCACGAATAAAATAATAATACAGCACAACAACCCCTTTAACCTTTTTGTTCATATGCAAA